GACTAGGTCGAATGGTCATAAACTACTACAAGACCGTTTCAGGCTGGACATAAGGAAGAATTTCTTTACTGTCCGAGCCCCCAAGGTCTGGAACAGCCTGCCACCGGAGGTGGTTCAAGCACCTACATTGAACACCTTCAAGAGCAAACTGGATGCTCATCTTGCCGGGATCCTATGACCCCAGCTGACTTCCTGCCCTTTGGGCAGGGGGCTGGACTCGATGATCTTCCGAGGTCCCTTCCAGCCCTAATGTCTATGAAATCTATTAAATCTATGAACCCTTTGGGTTCTTGGACCACTTTTCGGTCCTGTTAAAAATGGCTGCCTCACGGGACACCCTAAGCCTTATGGGCTAGATGAGTAGCTCCAAAACCACCCCTTTACCAAGCCCCAAGCCTCACAGATGGTATTTAAACTTTACCTCTCTGGTGCCTTGCTATAGCTCGGCCTCCTGTCATCACCAGGCTCTCCGCAGCCCTGTCTCTGCACCCAGACTGGCGCTGGGCTCTGCTCACCCCTTTTGTCACTGTGCTCCCCTGGCGCTAGGGTCCCCACACTGTAGTGGGCCCCCAATGAGGCCTCCTCCTCCCCCAATAGCCTTATCCCGGTCCACCAGTTTATTAACAGCAACGAAAATATGAGCCCCTGGGCTATAACATAACACCAGCAAGTCAGGGTGCGCTCTGTCCCTTTTAAAGAATCAGACTTCCCCCCAGCACCAAGTACTTGTAAGCCAGGGTACCTGGTGAGCTCCTGGAGCCCCATTAGGCCTATATGCAGCATATCAGGCAGCCACCAGCATCCCTGGGCAATTCTTCCCAGGAGGCTCCCTCCCCTGGCTGCTGCCAAAAAACTAACTCCTGCTGGTCTCAGCGCTGGGGTTTGTGCGCCCAGGGCCCTGCCTTCTTCCGGTCAGCTGACCAGGTACAGGTGCAGGCTAATTCCTTTGTTAGCCTGCTGCCATAGTAACCTGCACCTGTGGGGTTTCTGTCTGGCTCTTAGGGCCCTCTCCCTAGGCAGTTTCTGCTCTTAAAGGAGCAGGCACCTTAGTGCCCTGTGACAGGGTACAATATCAGATCTGGCACATACCTGGTGAATCAGATGTCAGGCAGGTTGTAATGTGTCATAAATCCAATGTCTATATTGACTCCATTAATTTTTGTATCCAGTAGATTTATGAATCCCACCCTCCTTTTCTACCCCTTGTTTTCCTAATTTGCATCTATTTGCTTTTTCACAGACGGGCTATTTTCTACCTTGGAAAAGTACTACTGTAGAGTCTCCCTTACTTACTTTGGCTTTTCCCCCCCCTTGCTTTCCCCATCTACCTATAGTTTCCTAATTTCCACCTATTTACATTCTCACTGACATCCTGCCACACTTAGCTTCTTTCATTCCTTGGAGTCTCAGAACTGCAGAGGCTTCCTATGCCTCAAGAAGGGTGCTTGTGCCTGAAAGCTTGCATAGAACTTTTTTCTAACTACTCAACTGGTCTAATAAAAGATATCACATCTACCCAAAGAACCTTACCATCTTTAATCATTAAAATTCATTGCATATTCAGACTTACAAACTTTTTTGACCGTTTCAAATGTATATTCTTGGTACTATATATGAACTAGCAAATGTATGGATGCATGCAAATTTAGAGTTAATACTGGATTACAGATTTCTTTCATCACTGAACTTTGTTCAAGGTGTACATTTGATCTGAGAGAATGATGTACATGTCATCTTTTTCTAAAACTATCTAACAATTAATGATTTCTACTACATTTGGCTTTATGATCCCTTGAGTCTAATTTAGCAAGCACAAAATCTGCAATTAGTCATAGGGTACAGTTCTTCACTCTTAGAAACCTAAGTAACTCAAATGTGTTCACAAACTAAGAAGATAGATCTGCATGTTCTGTGAACTGTATCCACACCTGCAGGGATAAAACTGCTTTTACAAAAGCAAGGGCCATATGAAAGCCGTCTTAAAAATCAGAAGTACCATCTCAAGAAAAAAAAAGTAGCGTAAATAACTTGAAACAGTCAAATCGAAAAACAAGTGGAAAAAGGTAACTCCTAACAAGTAGTCCTATTCCCCCCTGTACTACCACATGCAGAGAACACACAACAGTACAAAGAATGCAAATGCATTTGGAATCATCAAAAGAAAGCAATATGATGCATGATATATGAGACTAATCCATCAAAACAAAAATTTGTAATGCCTCTGTGTATATTCTAGCAACAAAGGGAAGAATATTCTGTTCTTGAAAGCATGAACAAGCATTGTAGAACAAAGACGAAATGGTATTCATTTCTGATCATTGGTGTTTCAAGCCTCAAACCATAATCTGAACATGCCACACTATCTTTCAGTTATTTAAAACCAAACCTGCTAGATGACAACTGGGACAAATCCACACACGTAAAGCAGAAAATACTCTACTTAAAGGAAATTTGGGATAAAGAGAAGAAACAGAAAGGGGAGCTGTTTACAAGGACCCTACCAGTTCGCAACAGTCTAAGTAAGCCTCTGTGAAATAAATGCTATACAAAAATCAATGTTCTTATGGAGCACAAATACCCATTACCAACAAAAGGTCTTTGCGTTGGGATTGCAACATTCTGCTGTTCCAAAAAAAACTGTAAAGAACATTTGTGATTCAGAGGCCTTCATGAAGTCATCGCCCTCAAAAAAAAAAAAAAACATGTATAAAGACCCCTAAAACATATTATCATCTTTAAGTCATTAGAATGTGTCAAGGAAAAAGTTTTTTGATCATTTTACTAATCCTTAGGGAGCCCAGGAATTGGAAAAATCCTCAAAATATCACCACCTGAACTCCCAATTTGACAATGAACTAGTATATTAATTCAGAGACCACCTAGAATTTTGGCAAGGAAGCAAATGACCTTGGCTAAAGTAGAAATCTAAAAAATATGCCTTACAATTTGTAAGTAAAGAATAGACCTGCCCAATGTAGAATCTATTCAGTCACCTCTATGCAGACAGTCAGATGCAGGGGTAAGCACCACACACAGGTACGGTCCTGCAAATTGTCAAGTATTGTCTATTGAGCAGCCAGAAGGAAGAAGAAACGTAAATGTAGAAATGCTAAAGGAGACTAGGGAGGTATGGGGTGTGCAGGGGACACAAGAGAGAGGGAAGGGTAGAAAATGGTGCTAGTAGCTAGGGGTGGAGCTCATGATATACTATAGCAGCACAAAATATAAGATTTTTTAACAGCATAAATCTGATTATTACCTAGAACAGCAGTGGGTGATGAGAGCTGTAGCATTAAGAAGCCTATACTTGGAGGAATGCATTTAAGACATGGAAAATCAGACCCTGGCCTCACCCTCCCTGCCTGCCCAGCCCGGACTCCTTTCCCCCCTGCCCCCTGCCATGCTCCCTGTGTTCCCTGCCCCCATGTCCCTTCCTTGCACCTTCCTTCCAGAGGCACCTACTTCTGGTGCCTGCTCCCTTGCCCCCTTGTGCCTATGTCAGGCACAGGGGAGCAAGAGAGCAGGCACCAGGGGTAGGACAGGCAGCAAGAGTCAGGCATAGGCACGGGGGGAAAAAGGACAAGGGGCATGGGGGCAAAGAGCACAGGGCACATGGAGAACAGGGGAACAAGGGGTAGGGGGGCAGGCACAGAAGGCAAGGCCAAGGGTCTGCCCCCTCTGCCTCCACTGCTTTCTCCGCCACAGCACTCAGGGGACAGAGTTCAGATGATCTTACACTAATTCGATTCTATACATGGAAAAATATAACAATTATTTAATTTATCTCGTATATAATCTAATGTTTGAGGGTGGTTGTCTTAAATTCAAAAGCATCTTGGATTCAGGTATGTATGGTACAGGGCTGCTTACCCGTAAGGCAGGATTTTCTGAAGTATCCAACTGCTCTGTACTTATTTTCCAGGTCTTTTCTGTACTGGATGACTGTGATGCATTCGACTCAACCCAATCAAATGTAGAACCCTAAGAATAATAGTGTGGTTAGTTGAGGAAAAATAAAGTGTTATCAGTGAATGAAAAACAAATCTTATGAAGTCATTATAAATTGATCAAAAACACACTGTTGCCAAGAAAAATTTACCAAAGTGAATTAGTTGATGTAACCATATCAAATAACAAGTAAGTTTCTCTCTACAACATTAGAGAAGTTGAAAAATATTATGCTTTAATACAAAGAAATATAAGGCAGTTCACTAAAGCATCAAAACTGCTCTAGCTATGCTTAGAAACAAACAAGAAACACCTGCTTCTGGTTTTATGGAACTACAGTAGAAATAAATTTAATTTTGAAATCAGTGAACAAAACATTTCTGCATTATTTTTCAAGACTTGCAGGTACTAACGTAGATAGTTTACATCCTACATCTACCGTGTACATTTTAATAGTCTCATTACCACATTTGTATCACCCTTGTCACACTGAAAGGGTAAATGTGTCTGAGAGGGAAAGATTTTTCTAGAGTGCAGAGATCTTGCTCTTGTACCAACCGCCTCTGCTGATAACTTTCTCTGCTATTTATAGGAACCTGCCATGGGAACAGGAGACTTTGGATCAAAGGTATTAGTCAAGAGTGTGATGCATCTTGGAACTTAGTGATGCAATTTGTGACTTTTGATGCTTCCCACAGGAAACGTGGGACCAATTTGTGGTTGCAGTTATTACCCATAGGTCAAGAGAAAAAAAGAAGAAAAACCACATGGCTCAACTTCAGATATTTGCTCCTGCAAAAAGAGTTTCATTCTACTGAACACTCACTCATTTCAAGAACAGAAATCTTGTAAAACTATTAGTTTCTTAGGCCCCGATACACATTACACTGGAAACGTGATTAACTAGTGAATCGCATCTTAAGTTGTTACCCAGCCACACATTAATACAATTAGGAACTCTGGATCAGCTGGGGACAACCAACTGCAGAAGCACATAGTGCATTCCCATGGCTGGGAGTCCGGATCAGCTGATGGGGTTCCCAGCCATAGGAGTGCATGTTGCATACCTGTAGCTGAGAGCCCCATCAGCTAACAGGCCCCCACCCACGGGAGCTTGCTACTTGCCAACGTAGACGGAACCTGGAATCACAATCCTGGGCTGCCCCTATACCAGCAAAAAAATGTAATGGGACCTGATGCTGGATCCCATAATCATGCCTCTTGCCATGCATGTGCAGCATGGCAGGAAGCATGATTGAGGGGATCCCACAACAGATCCCACCATGCCTTCACTGCATGTCTGCCAGGGGCCTTACAGTTACAGGTAGCATTACACAATGAGAAGGAGAAATTCAAATGATGACACCTTTTAAATTAATGAAATTTTATAGCAGCAGAACTATTACTGTTAACATGTAATGCCACTCTTCAGCAAAAATAAATAGCAAGCCTCAATGTTAGTGATAACGTCTTTCCATGCATGCTAGTTATAAAAGCTTTTTCTTCCTTTTTTTGAAATAAGCCTCTCAAGCTAGTAGCTTAAGTTTATTACTTACTGAAGAACTATCAGATGACTCATCTTTTTTTTCAATTTTTTGCTTTTTGCTTTTCTTCTTCTCTTTTTTAGGTTTTCTTGAATGTTTATCCTTTTTTTTTTTTTTCTTCACAGAATGTTCCTGGATAAGTCAAGCATTTATGAGATAAACCAAACTAAAAAGTGTAAGAAAGACCAATGTCTACCTATCAAATCACATTACAAAAATCAACTGTGCACGTAACTGGCCATTGCTGCATACTTTTATTTCTTTTATCATGTTACTTCTCACATTCCTTCTAACTGTCTCTCACTAACATAGAGAATGTTTTTCAGAACATATTCCTCAACATTGGAAACTTTTTTCTGAACATATACTGAAAGCAGAATAATTATACCTAAAGACACACACAGTTTATTCTAACTTAAGCTATATTTCCTTTGTGAATCACTGCATCTGCACAGCTCTTTGCTTTTTGTGGCAGAGGGTATGGGTGGGTGGGGGACTCTAGGTGCGTGTGTGTGAGTAGGTGGGTGTGTGTATATGGGGTGTAGGGGAGTGTGGATATGGGTGGGTATGGGCGGTTTGTGGGACGCTGTGGGATGTGTGGAGGGGAAGGGGTATATGTGGTTGGTGTGTGCACCTAGCAGTGAGCAGGGCCCCCCCAGTGGCACAGAAGGGTTTGTGAGGGGGTGCGTGTGGGGAGGGGTGTGAGGTTTGTGGAGGGTGTGGGTGGGTGCAGTGTTTGTGGGGTGTGTAATTGTGTGTGGTTGTGTGGGCAAGCGTTTCTTGGTACGGTACAGTGTGTATGGGAGCCCCGCTAAGCCAGTCAGCCCCCCGCCCTGCAACAGCCCAGAGTCCGCATACCCCGCGGCGGATCCCCACCACTGCCAACAGCACACAGCCCCAGTGTACCCCGCACCTGTTCCAGACTCATTCCTACCAGCGCGGATCAGTCAGAATGAGCAGATCAGCCAGAACCTGGGCACAGCCCCGACCCAGGCTACCCCGCACCTGCTCGGCACCACCAAGATGTGGCACATCCTGACATCCCGGGCACAAAGCGGGGTTGGGGCGGCTCTGCAGCTGAACTGCCTTTTTGGGCAGCAGCAGCTCCTTCCGGCTACTGCCACCACTGGCCCCATCCCCACAGTACCAGCAGGGACCCACACTGCACGGCCCTGACCCTGTGCACTCCACACTCGTCCACCCAGGCTCAGCAGCAGCAGCGCAGAACAAAACCTGTTACTCAGTGCAGGGGGAAAGCAACTCCTTACCCCTCCGGCTACCAGTGGTTCCTGCTGCGGCCTCCTAGAGCCCGCGCCATGCAGGGATGCCCTGCGTCTGCTCTGCACTGCCCACTGCTGGGCAACCCATAGACAGCGGTGACGGTGACAGAGATGCAGCCCAGTCTGGTGTGGTGTGGGCTCTGGGTGTCTGCAACCTGAATGACCAGCAGTAAGAGGGGAAGGGGCTGCTTTTCTCCTGCACTGAGCAAACTTTTGTCCCACGCCGCCACTGCTGAGCCTGGGCAGGCAAGCCCAGAGCAGGTGTGGAGCACACAGGATCAGGGCTGTTCAACACGGGTCCCCACCAGTACCACAGGGCTGGGCCAGCAGCAGCAGCAGCTGGATGGAGGGACCACTGCCTGA